CTTTCCAATGCCACGAGCCGCGATCACCAGCTTACGATTCACATCGAAAGAATGTCCACTCTTTTTTGACGCAGGAAAAATGTCAGTCACGGAGTTACATTTTTGATTCCACTCTGCGGGCTGACTATAATATGAGCCCAGGTCACTTTCATTTAGATATATTTTAACGGCGTCAGACATTTTTCGGCGGCCAGTTTTTTTTCATCTTAGAACTACTTCCCATGATATATTAGGTTATTAAAACATCGAGAAAAGCTTGAAATACTATAGTGTAATGTTTGTTTGTGCTTCGATCGCGTAACGGACACTACCTATAGATTACACAGGATATAATAAAGCTGGATGGTCAACAAATCAGTATGCAAATTAAATCCTTTGTCTTAAGTCTGTCACTCAACATGATATGTCAATGCATGAAGGACGTGTTCACCTACAACTAAGTTTCCGGGAATAAATTGAAATTACTCAACAAATGCATCGCGCACTGTAAATTCGGACCAAAGAAAAAGAAAGTACACAATATAAGGTTGCATAATCCGGGATTTTTAGAAAAAAAATTTTTTCTAGTTTTTCTCCTCTCGCTACCTTAAATGCTTTTAGGTTAAACAACTGGATAACGGAAGTTTGTGTATTAATTTCCATATTACTATTTATATGCAAATATGGAAAAACATATATACTGATATTTTCTGTTAAAATTATTAATAAATTTTTAGCATTCGTGTGAATGGTGAATGAATTGGTTAACGGTGATAGTGTTTTGTTTGAACTCCCTAGTGCATACTGTGTAACTCAAAATGTAACACAAATGTCATTTTTGTGGATCAACAACAGGATATGTTACACATGGGCGAGGAAATGTATCACTAGGCGCTCATCATATCCTCCATCAACATCAACAAATCCCTGTGACGATTCCATGCATGTGTATGCAACTCCTGTCATTCGTTGTTTGATGAAGAAAGGTGAGAACTATTGACATGATTGTGAATATGATCATTTATTTGATAGTTTAATACACAATGAACAGGATTCTTATTCCATCAGATACCAGTACGCAATTTTATGTTCAGCTACGAGTGACTTTGGTATGAATCACAGTCCCTCCACAGGGAGGGACTGTGCATGAATACAGGGCAGAAACCCCGGAATGCGAATTAGGCCAAGGCGCGAAAAGAGTTTCGGAAGTGTATATGACTCCGGAGGATGACTTTCCGTGTGCTCGTGTTGGAAAGTCCGGGCGGGTGTTTGGGGCCTTGTCGGGGCTATGGGTCCGCCAATTCGGGGCCAGAGGCGGTAAATGCAGACATTAGCATTGTAAAGGGGGCCTATTTGCCAGCGGGCCCGCTTTAGAAGGTGAAAAACACCCCGCTAACGGCATATAGAGTGATCCCCCGTAATATTAACGTGTCAACATGAACTTACCAATGAAAACAGCTCATAGTTTTCGTGAATGGTTGCAACTCTGGTCCATCCAAAGTCCTTCATCAATCTCACCCTGGCAGGGTTGAGGGCAGTGTCCGGAAGATATGTACGAAAATATGTTGGATATCGTTCTCGATTCGAAAGTGCCGAAGATGCTGCTGAATAAGAAAGCTGGGGGAAAACAGCATGAGATTTGAAAATGTAATTTGCATATATATATACACATATTCCTTCATTCACATGTGATTGTATTGCAAGCCATGGCTATAATACCCTGGATCAGCCTTAGCATTGTGTTGGGTACGAATAAGCTGACTACGATCAAGAAGTCAATATCGAAAGCAGCAGGCTTAACAGGCAAACTGAGTAACCATAGCGCCATCAGTGGATTACGGCAGTTGAATGGCATGTTTGCCAATGCAAAGATCTGTGGAGGAACTTTTAACTTCAACATAAACTGTGTCTGTCGTGGCCCCAACGAAACGTCCACGAGTTATTTATTCTGGTTGCCATCTTAGTTTTCTAGTAAGAATTAACTTTTTCAGGCGTTACAATCAACTCTCCAAATACCTTGGACACTAAGCAAGAAACTGCGTTTCACTGTGACTCGTCCAGAAATACGAAATAAAATTATTAGAATATATACCATTATAACTTACAATTACGAGGTTCCAGTGAACTGCCGTCTCTGCCATGGCCTGACTTCCAGTGGAACATGGTGGCCCTAGTACCATGAGTTTCTGTGGGGAGTGGTATATCTGGTCAAAAAATACTCTTGTGGCCATTCCTGTTTCGCACTGGAAAAGATACATATTATACATGTGTATGTTATGCGCTTGAAGTAATGCTCGAGATATCGAAGAACTGTTTTTTTTTTACAATAAAGCACTAGTCTTAAAGATTGATTGTTATAACCTATTTTACTGATAATCGACTGCGTTACCAAGGTAATTCATCACAAAGTTTTACTTCACTTTGGGATCAATAATTGATCAATAAATCTATAATGCAGCTGAAGTATTAGATATCAAGATATATTACAATGCAAGTGAGCAAAACTGAATTAGAAATTGTTGGCACTCAGGTTAATCTTATACTATTATCTCTGTTATCTAGATTTATCTCTATTATATAGCTCAATGCCATGCTAAGATTACTTCTGGGATTTCATTTTAAATACTATGTACAAGAAAACTTTGATCAAACGCTATATGCGTCTGTAAGTTACGTAACGTAAGTTTTGATATATTCACTTATATATGCCTATATATTTGTTTCACGTCGGTCAGTGTCAGCATAAATCATGTTATTTGCTTTTTCTGATAAACAGTATGTCATACTCTTTACTACACCCCGTTGTGAGTTTCTTCTTTAAATTAAGTTTAGGATATGAAAAAAAATAATTGTATAACTCGAAAGACTAAATTTGTTTGCTTAGAAACCATGTCTACGTACGACAGAAATTGTTAGACGACCAAATAAATTGAATTTGTCAAGGCTGCATGTGAAAATTCAATATGTAGAATATTTACAATCTGGTGAACAAATATGTACTTGTAGTAGACATACAATAAAAAATAAATAAAAAATGAATAAAAACAGTTTTCATTGGAATGGCTAATCAGAAATAAAATAAATTGTCTGGAATATGTAATAAAGTATTGAAATGACAAGAAGACAACTACATACCCTCGTATCATTCCACACCATTCGTAAATTATAATCAGACAGGACATCTTCCTTGGCATTAATATGTTCGAATGCCATTTCTACGGCAGGGATTACACCACCTCCTTCCCAATTGCCGCCCAACGAAAAGTAGGTACCGATGTAAATATCTGTTTTGTTGTTCTGCTTTTGGGGGTGAGCTATATTCGACGGCCAGTGTGTTTCATTCTGTCCGTGCACTGCCCGAGAGAAACAACAGTTCAAAAGTATATACGCACAAAGCAAAACAGCCATGGTGTATGATGCCCAATGCGATGAAAAGATTAAATGATCCACCCGTGGAATGTGCTCTCTTTTCATATACAGTCAAATTGGAAATCGATTAGTCGCACAAAAGATATTCTTCAGACCCGTCAAATGTCTTTAGCTTTGAAAATGTCTTCAAAAATCGAAAATGGTTTCTATAGAAACACGGTAGCATTATCATAAACTGATGCTACTCTCTTATCCAACTGCATCTTCCTTTTTAATATAATCAGTCACGTGATATCAAGGTGCGAAACAGATGTGGATTATGGACTGTATATCTGAACGTTGATTTATCGGAGAACGACTCTATTTTATTTCAAATAATACGACGATTCAAGAATTTCAAATTACTCATTAAAAGTAAAAATACTATTCATTAAAGTGAGGTAGTGATATCAGTTACAAATTTGTTCATTTTGAATATTTCATCTTACACGTATGTTAGAAAAACATACTTCTAAATATGATAGCTTTAAATCCTTATTAAAATCCTTTTAAATTGGACAAATATTACCAACAACTGTATTTTGTACGTGCGTGGGGATGGACACGCAGCTATGAATACACATGTTACCTCAGTTATATATAGAAGACTGGACGTATCATAAGCCATTAGCGATATTCTTCATATATCTGATGAGATCGGAAATTGTTGATGGAATAAGTAAATCCGATACGAATAGCGCCCTGAGAAACTAATATACTATCTGTATAAAGGTCAATTGTCTAGTTAATGGTGTCTTTGGGACACGACATAATCCATACATTTTTTGAGCAATAATTCAATACGATGTTATCTTTGTGGATATGGTCGTTGTTATAATAATTTCCCTCTTTACAATTTAATAATCTATTCTATAATATATGTAAAGTTCTGTGTAATCAAACTGTGTAATACTGTT